TGATTCATGTCAGACTAGCAAGAAAGCTAGAATATGTCAAGAATTACATGAGTGGAGTAGTACAACCAAAGCTATTATACAAAGCAGCAAAAATTTTGGTACAAAAACCATTACTTAAAGAAGGAGGTATAACTCTGTCCAACTCATGAAGCAACACTAATTTTGCTGATTCAAATATAACTGAATTTGACAAAGAAGATGAATTCTACTCTACAAATGCCATTCATGAAACTTTGTTAACACATGATACTTTATCTTTCAATTCATTGGCATCTGCTGGTATTCGTGTAGCTCCTGCAGAAGGATATACACCAAAAAGTGTACTTTTTGATGAAAACTGCGAATATCTAGCTTATCCAACTGTATTTGGAGGATACAAAATGCATCCAGTTTTCAATAATAAGCCATTATCTTATTCAGAATTCGCCAAGTCTCTTATAACTCGTTATGATCGAAGAGTTGCAGAAAGAGGAGACTTATTACTCTTCATAGCAAAAAAGCTTGAATTAATCAAATTATATAACAATATAGGAATTTGCTTGAAAAAAAAAGAAATGTCATGATCCAACTGTTACTGCTTCCAATATGTTAAATGCTTCTTATGTAAACAAAGTAATGCAACACAATGACGGTTACAAGATATTAAAAGGCATAAGAAGCAGCCCTGCGCATTGGATGAATGAAAAAGTCAAGTTACTGGCACAAATCAGACAATTTGGTCTACCAACTTTCTTCATAACTCTCTCTGCAGCAGATACTCACTGGCCAGAACTACTTGTAGCTTTAAAATTAACAGTAGATAAACAAGAAATCACAGAAATTGATGCACAACAGCTATCTTATAAAGAAAAAGCAATGTTACTCCAAAAAGATCCAGTGACAGCTTCTTTGCATTTTGATCAAAGATTTATAGCAATAACGAAAACATGGGGAAGTAATGATGGTCCTTTCAAGAACATAACATATTACATTCTTATCATCGAATTGAATTTCAACAAAGAGGGTAAATACTGACAAATTGAAAATGTTTACATAAATTTTCGTTTCTTCCTCTTATCAAATAACTTTGCATTTCAGATCACCACATGCACACATGTTAATATGGTTTAAAAATGCTCCATCCTATAATCCTCTCATACCACAGTCAGCTAAAGAAGTGTGTACTTTTGTAGATAAAATAATTTCTTGCTCATCTGCAGAACTTACACCTGAATTAGTAAAATTGCAAACACATAAACAGTCCCATACTTGCAAGAAGAAAAATAATGATGAACAATGCAGATTTAACATCCCATACTTCCCAATGAGTGAAACAATTATCTTAGAACCACTTCCAGATACATATACAAAATCTGACAAGAATGCACTGACTAAGATATTAAAGAAAATTAAAAAACATCTAAACATGGAAGGAACAAGATCAATGTCGTTTTCAGAATTTTTAAAATCACTAAAAATTACTGAAGATATATATCACCTAACAATCAGAAACAGTATCAGCAAGCCACAGTTGTATCTAAAACGATCTCCACAAGATATTTTCATCAGTCCATTTTCAAAAAAAATTATTGAACTGATGAGAAGTAATATGAATATACAGTTTGTTTTGGACGCATTTGGTGCAGCTACTTACATAATTGATTACATTAATAAATCTTGTAGAGGTATGAGTGTGATTTTAAAGCAAGTATTACAGCAAGTACGTGAAGGCAATGAACCACTTCGAAAATCACTAACAAAAATATCAAATGCCTTCTACAACAATAGTGAATTGTCAATCCAAGAAGCCTGCTATAACATACTTCAAATTCCACTGTCAAAATCTTCAGAAGAATGTGTTTTCATCCCAACTTTTCCATTGAAAGATCGAGTTCGCATGGTAAAATCACAAAGTAAATTAGAAGACTTAGATGAAGATTCTACAGATATTTTTGAATGTGGTCTACTAGACCACTACTCAAAGAGACCAACATCCATGGAAAACGTATCTTTAGCTATATTTGCTGCACATTATAGATTTTCAACAAAAAATGGAAAAAATGCCATTAAACTATTAGACAATGCTGGTTTTATCTTCAAACGATCCTCTGTTAGAATTATTCGATACAGAAACTACCATTACGAAATTGATCCAGACAATTACATCAGAGAAAACTTAATGTTATTTATGCCATGGAGAAATGAGCAAAGAGATTTATTAGATCAAAATATGGAAGACCTGTTTACACATCACAAAAACAACATAATGAACATCAAGAAATTATTTAACGCATTTAGTGATGATGCGTTAACACTGGCTTTCAGTGAAGTTATGGCACGAACATCACATGACAACGAAGAAACAAATAATCCTACAACCAAATTTGATTTTGACGAATACACCATGGATGATAATTTTAATTCTGCAAATATAGAGACAGAATTTGAAGAAGACAGTTCTAGAGAAAAAGTGATGTTCATTGCTCCAGAAAAATTACCAGAAAGTAATTTTCAAGAACTTTTTGAGAAACTAAACCAAGATCAAAGAAATTATATCATGCATGTTGGCAATAATTTTGAAAATATGCCCAATAAACAACTGCTTCACTTTCTAACAGGAGGAGCAGGCGTAGGAAAATCTCTAACAATAACAACATTGTTCCAAACCTTGTATAGAATTTTCAATTCAGAAGCAAATACAGATCCAGATGAATTAAAAATTCTCTTATGTGCTCCAACTGGAAAAGCAAGCTTCAACATAGGAGGTCAAACCTTGCACTCAGCTTTTAAATTACCAATAAATACAAAACAGCTAAACGAACTATCGCCTGCTGTATCAAATACTTTAGCTACAAAGTTGAAAGCCTTGAAAGTTCTTATGATAGATGAAATATCGATGGTCGGTCAACATACTTTACACATGGTTGATCAGAGATTACGTCACCTTTTCAATAAAGAAAAATTATTTGGAGGAATCTCAGTTATAGCTGTCGGAGATTTCAATCAACTAAGACCAGTATGCGCAACAGCTCTCTACTACCCGGAAACATCAAATCAATATGCAGAACTCTTCAACAAAAAATGGGTAGGTTCCGGAGGACCCCCCCACCGGAGGACCCCCCCGTAATATTTAATAGTTTTTAAATAATATTTTTAATTTAATATTGAATAATAGTAAAATATTGTAAAATATTGCTACCCTTCGTCTGGAGTGCCGAACAATTTTTCATACCACCTCCAACGGAGTACTCGGCTGCTACGGTCGCTCCCGCACCTCGGAAGAGCGTTTTGAAAATTAACATGCAGCAAGCGCCAAATCCGTCTGCTGCACTTTATGAAATAACTAACTAGTTAATTACTCTGGTACTGCATGTGTTGTTAACCAGTGTGATCCTACTTGCTGGAAACGGTAAGAGCTTGAAAGTTGCGTGCTAACATCTTTAGCATCCACTGTTCACACACACTCTGTTCAATTCTTGCATGCGAGAGATTTTGATGCTTCGTAAGAACGAAGCATTTACTTTGCAATTGCATAGCCATGCGTTGCAGCATCATACAAAAGCATGTGCAATGTATGTTCAAAGTAAAATACCCTGTAGTTTCAAAGCATCAAAATTCTAACGCAATTGCAAAGCACTGCTTTGCAGGAATCTAACTGTAGAAGTAACTGTATTTGTTTCAGGTAATAAACTTGAGGCCATAGGAAGTGTTTCCTGTGAAGCTTGCACATCTGGGTGTTCCTCGTGCCAATCAGTTGGTAGTGAGTTTAAAGAGTTCAGAATCATATTTATCAGCTCAATAAAGTTCAAGTTGTCATTAGAAAAAGAAGCCGATATTCTTTACTTAAAAGTTGACATGCTAAATCTGATTCTGCACTCATTGAACTCGCCAGCAACTCGTTGACACGAGAGAACCCATCCGTGCAATGCAATGCAGCAACTTTGTTAACGACCTGGCACAAATAAAGTTTCTGTGGACAGTAAAGGCTAAAGATGTTAGAACGTAACTTATCGACAAGGTTTAATCGTCCAGCAAGTAGGATTACACCAGTTGCCACACGTGCACAGGAAGAGAATAATTGACTAGCTAATTCTTAGACTGCGGTAGGCAGATTTGCCGCTTGGCACATTTTTGTTTTCAAACTTCTCCACGAGACGCGGGAGCCGCTGAAATAGCCAAGTGCGTCGTCGGAACCTGAATTAGTAAAATTGCAAACACATAAA